TCATTCAAATTTTCATTAATAAACAATGGGCCAATCACTTTATTTCCTAAAATGCCTGTCCATACATTAATTTTTTGGGGGTACTGGGTACGCCCTTCTACAAAAGCATGACGATTTTCATTGCTCCAATACCTACAGGTATGCTTATTAACAAATCCGTTTTGATAAACGTGCATTCATCACTGAGGCAGATATTTTTTACATGATCGGCTAACTCTTGCAGTATTTTCATTTTGAGTGGATGAAATTTATGGAGTTTAGTAACAGTGTGTACAGACCCTAATGAAATACCAGTCGCAAAACAAAGTATTAGGATTTAATCAAAATGACCCAACCTATATTTTCTTTGTAATGTTGTTTTTTCAGTACTTACCGTCATAAAAGGATGTCAAGATGACAGACTTTTAAAGGACGTCTTGTTGTCGTCATAAAAATGGCGTCAATAAAGACGTCATTTTTTAGTCAATGACGTTACCGACAAAAAGTGACCGAATAATGACGTCATTTTGGCGTCGTCATGTCATATACGAGTATGCATGTTCTGGACTAACCGAAAATAAAAACTTTCTGTGAAAAATAATTTTCAGAGATGTTTATAAATCTACTTTACGCAGAAACAATTTTGATATTATTTGCGTATCATTTTTAATAACGACGCTTTATCAGTTACTTTTTCTTCGTTAGTTTTTTTGGAAAGGACCCTATTCTACTGTGATAATTTCAGTCTAAGTTTAAACCAACTGTGTACCCTACCAACTCGGGTGGTAGAGAGGTTTCACGTATTTCAAAGAACGCTTAGGAAGACATTGTTCACATACTTCATGTCCTTTTAGACAAAAGATTTTCTGAGAGATCGGGGTTTATAAACATTATTTGGGTTTTATAAAGAACTATCCCAGAGCGTTTTGATTTCGCGCAATTGGTTTAAGCGATTGGCTACTGGTAATTCGGAATGGTTCTGGGATGGTTTTTTCTAAAACCCGAATTAAGCTATAACAAATAATCGCCATTAAATCTAAAATAGATTTTTTATTTCTTGATTAAAAAAGATGTGACTACTTCGGAGCCAGATAAACTGAAGTATGTTTTCAATGACAAAGCGGGAATAATTTTTTGTATAGAATCGTATGCGTATAGTATTAAATAATCTAGTCATACTTTGCAAAATTTCTTACATGGATAACGTAGTAAAATATTATATACACAAAAACGTTGTTTTTGTTTTCTGTTATTGAGTTGTTTGTTTTGCTGTTTGTTTTGCGATGTGAAAATTTGAGACAGAACTTTTTGTCAACACAGTGAGAAAGCAGATAAGCAACAATCAGATAACCAGGAAGTTTGACATGTAGAAGATAAAATCAAATTTTTGCCAACAATTTGTTTAAAGCGACAAATATGGAATGGAATTTTTAGATCTGGTGTAGTGACAAAAAATTCTGTTTTCAAATATGTTTCGTGTTACGTTAGAGAAAATGTACCGTTACTTTGTATAATCATAAGCTATTTTGTAAAAATGTTTGTCAGGAAATTAAATTTGCGACATGACAGAGTGATATGGACCTTAATTATAACTCATTTCTCACGGTATGTAATGAACCATATTTATTGTTTTTATAACTATAGGTATGATGTGAGTGATATTTGTGAAGTGATTTTTGGACAGTTAACGTTGGATAAACTAGTGTAGGAATATGGTTGTATCATTTCGGTTTCCTAGCCTTACCCGAAAATCCTCCAAAAAAAAAAAACGAAATCTGATATAAGTCCGCTTGCTTCCAGGTAAGCTTATCACAAGCTATTTTATTCTTGGACACCTTGTACCTACCTAGAGCAGAAAATAAAAAAATCATACATCGTAATAGGAACGATTCGACAGATTTTCATTAGAATACCGATTTAGTAACCTCGTTTGGGTTGCTCACGCTAAGTTCACCCCTCATGACTTAAACAGATGCATCCATTTTCACCAAACATAGTTGAGAACCAGTTCGACAGATCAGACTTTTGATTAACAGAATGCATACAAATCAGTTCATTCGATGGGGCGCTATGATGCTACAGACAATAAAATAATATACAGGGTGGCGCATCGAAAACGAAACAGACGCATTTACTGGCAGCTCAGTTTTTTTTTTGAAAAACGCTCAGACCCTTCGATTTTGTTTTCGAGGGGGATACAAGTTTGGCAAAAAACCACGTTAGCATGTGCAGCCCCCTAAGCGGGCTTGACACCACCCCAAAATATTAAATGGAAAGGGGGATCGAGAGATACCTTATTTTAAAGGTATTTCAATTCCCTTTATAATGATATACAATTAATGTACTTCAGTTCAGTAGTTTTGAAGATTTATTGATTTAAAGCTTGAATAAAACTAATACATCATCATTAGTGGAGATCAATACATTTGGCAGCAAAGTAATTTAAAAATGAAGAATGAAGTGACCCGTTAGGCAAGTAAATGTTGAAAATGGCCACCATGACTCTCCATGCAATAATAAAGATTTTGCTCAAAACGTTGCCGCACATTTTGCAATATTTGAGGAGTAATTTGAAGGCACTCATTCACAATTCTTTGTCGCAGGTCTTCTAATGGCGTTGGCGGAGTAGCATAGATTTTGCTTTTTAAATGACCCCACATAATGAAATCCAAAGGTGATAAATCTGGCGATCTTGGGGGCCATTGAATGGCACCTCTTCTACCAAGCCATCGATCTGGAAACGTATGATCTAAATATTGTCGAACACGTAATGCGTAATGTGGTGGGGTACCATCCTGTTGGAACAACAACCTATTCGCAATCTATGGCGTCTTCCAGTAACTCCAAATACATTTCACCGGTCAAATTTACAGGTAAGAAAAAAGGACCAACTAAATGATCGCCAAAAATTCCAGCCCAAACATTTAATTTTTGTGGCTGCTGTGTATGAACCTCATGATAAAATTCTGGAATTAGAATCGGACCAATATCCGCAGTTAATGACGATTTACTACGCTATTTAGGAAAAGGAACATTCGTCGGAAAAGCAAGTGTTGAATAGAAAATGTTCATCGTTTATAATTCGTTCACTCATATCTTCACAAAATTGTAATCGCCGATCAAAATCGTCTTCATTAAGTTCTTGTACCAAGTGAATTTTATACGGATGAAAACTATGGGCCTTTAGAATCCGTTGGACAGTACGTCGTCTAACACCACACACAGTCTCCAATTTGCGGGTACTTAATGTAGGATCTACATAAACTTGCCCTAAAACCCGCACTTCTATTGCTTCGTTCCTTATGGGATTTTCAATGTTGCGTTTTTTATTCTCGACTGACCCAGTTTCCCGAAATTCAGCTACAAGTTCTAGAACATATTTTCGATGCACGTTACTGTTCTCATGTCGCTCATTGAATCAGTCGTCTAAATGCAAAACCCGACAAGTCCATTTAAAGGAATTTTAGGGAAATCGCAAAAAACGTTTATAACGTCTATTTGTCTTAACAGAAACCAGCAAATTGAAACAAAATTTTATCAAAAAAAATGTGTAACGAAAAACTGGTTCCTAAACATATGTTATAATTAATAATTACTTAAATTAAGATTAAAGTTTGGACTTGTCGGGTTTTGCATATAAAACATGGTGACTTGTCGGGTTTTGGTTATTAACTTTGGCTAAAACAAGGCGAATCGGTAAAACACGAACAAACTTTTGCATTATTCTATTACAAAGTAGTATTAAGAAAATGCACATTCCAAACAACATAAAATTTGTGTTTTCTAAATATCAAAATCTAAAGTTTCTTCTAAACAAAACAACTCTGTATTGGCCTCATTACCATCTCGTGAGGTTGAAGTGGATGGGAGAGGAAGTTCATCGAAGGCACTTTTGAAAAATGATAAGGCCTCATCATTTAGCCAATTACTTCCGTAATGTTTTGCAATCAAATTACTGATACTTTTCTTCTTATCCGATTTCAATGGCATTCCAATGTCTACAGTGCTTGGTTTGATGTCCAACTTTCTTCCTCTCCTCAGCAGCGACTGGTTGGTGCCCATGTCATTCTTATAGAAACTTTCACCTCTTACTGCATAACCGGTTTCAGTTTTTGAAATGATGATGCGTTTGGACACTTGCAACTTGAAATGCCACTGTGATGTTGGTTTCCTAACTATCTGAACTTTTGACTTCCAGTCCTGTACAGGAACATCAACTCCCAACTTGTAGATGATTCCCCACTTCTCTATTACTTTCATGTATTGTTCTGGACTTGTAATTTCAGGTGACTTTTAATAATCTTCTCAATTTGTCCCAAATAGCCTATCTGGTGGAATATAGGAATGCCCCACAACCGGAAAAAATATATCAATTTTGTCTATGTCGGGGGTACTGCACTTTAATAACCAATGGGATAACATCCCAATGACGATGGAGTTCTTATTTTGCGCACCGCAACCATCACAAAAAAGGCAAACGACTTTAGTGGATTCGCTAAATTTAAATGTGCTGAGAGTATGATATAATGCTGATGCTATTTCATTGGATCCCCTTTGATGATCTAGTTCAGTCCATACATAGGAATTGACTGAAGTTGGACTTATTTTTCCTTTAGAAGTCCCCTGTACAATTGCAAAGTGATAAAAGTTTAGCTGCATACTGAAGTAGGCTGCTTGATCTGCGATTTTTGGCAGAGCCAGGTTTTTTTGACAATCAAAGCTGAATGTAACAACCTCATTGTCAGCATGGACTTCTTTCAAAAGCTCATAGAAGCACTTTGCTCGGATTTTGTGAGCTCGCTGTTGAGCCATTAATCGATTCTTTGTGTCGATATCTAATGACTTTTTTATTTGGTCTTGAAACTGCAGGCATGTTGAACACATGTCGGTTTTAGGAGTACCAAAGCCAACATTGTATTTTCTGGTGAAAAAGTATCTGAAAAATGACTCCTTAACCTGAAGATCTTTGTCCACGGTATTGTTAAACATTCTCCAAAGTTTCCTGATATTTAGTTCTGCAGGCAAATAAATTCTACTGAATGTCTTAGATCGGCAATAATGAGACTCTAAGCTCTTCAGTGATTCAACAAACTCTTTTATAGCCGCTCGCTTTGTGTTATTTTTACCTTTTGTCCGATCACCTCCACCTCGTTCTTTGGGCATTTCATTGCTTTCCTTGTACGGTTTTACTACATTCAAAATCCTGTCTTTCATCACTCCCAGAATGTTCATGAAACTCTGTCTGCACACATTAACCATTAGCCCATCTCTTCTTTTCACATAGTATTTCACTGACATAGATTTCGGCTTATTTTTTCTTGTTCTCGTTTTCTTGATCTTTTGGGATCAGTAACGCTGCAGTGCTTCAATATAAAATTGTTCTTGGTGATTTTCTCTGATGTTTTGTAAAATGAGTCATAAAAAATTTTATATCTCTCATGGTCAGCAGTGATATACATCGAAAGGGCTGGTACGGCTTACATGCCCACATTTTGGAAATGTTAGCAATGATTTTGCAGAATATCTAGAAAAATACATACAAATAAATTACTATTGCTACCGTGTAACAAGTATCTGTTAGCTTACCTGTTGCATTTTGCATTTTCCCGCTTAGACGGCGTTTTAACTTTCTTTCGAGATCTATTACCTTCCGATGGTAGTATATTATATTTTTCGCAATGCAACTCACTCATATTTTAGGCTAAAATACCATCAAACTAGATCGCACAACCTTAATCATTCGAGACTCAACGCAAAATAAACATGTGCATGCAAGTCAGGGCGACAAACCTCGATTGCAACACGTGATTGACCAAACACGAATTTCATTGGTCGACATGGACATGTCGGTATTTGAATTGAAACGACGCGTGGACATGTCGGCTTTTGCATTTCAAGGGAATTTTCTGTATTAGAAATAGCGTGTTAGAAGTCGGGTTTCGCCCTAAAAATATTGCATAGTTTGTAGCCCTTTAGATAAAGAATTCAATGGTGTATAAAACTGAAATTCCAAAATGTTGTGACTTGTCGGGTTTTGCATTTAGACGACTGAAATATTTCTGCTGTTCTATTAGCGCACTGATTATTTCCGAAAAATATTTCGATAATTTCAACTCTTTCTGCTGTGGAATATGGTTAATTTATGTAATAATGCGTTACAAGTTATTTTAGCAACAAAGTTTGGTCAAATCAATCGCAAACTATGTACTTAATTCCTATTTAAAATAAGTACGAGATATTTCCTTATCTTTCTTCAAGAAATAACTTTTTTGCCACAAAAAAACGCTCCAATAGCTATTTTCAACAACAAAATGATAAACAAACCTTGGGCGTAATGAAGGAAAGCATTTACTTATTAAGTAAATTCTTTTAGTCAAATTTCTTCTGAAAGCAGTACAAACTAATCTGTTGTACCTATTAAAGTCTACTTTAAGCTTTAAATCAATGATATGTTACTCACCTGAGTGAAATATTTTTTTTGCTTCTTTTTCTTGTTTGTCTTTTTTTCTTTAGATGTTTTCTGTTCTTGTTATTTTAATTTAACTTAGGATTGTCCTGTAAATGGTTTCCTTAACTGTTGGGCAATAAACGCTATTTATTATTATATTATTATTATAATAAATCTTCATAAAGGGAATTGAAAGACCTTTAAAATAAGGTATCACTCGACCCTCCTTTCTATTTAAGATTTTAGGGTTGGTGTCACCGCCGCCCAGGGGCTGCACGTGTTAACGTGATTTTTTTGCCAAACTTTCCAAAAAAAAAACTGAGCTCCCAGTAAATGCTTCTGTTTCGTTTTCGATGTGCCACCCTGTATAATAGGACTTGACAACTTTCTTTTTAAATAAAACCCAAACCATTCCAGATATCTCGAAAATTTTATTTTTGGATTGAAGTATACTCAAAACATTTATGTATGGAATTCGACCTCGTTCATATGTCCACCACGGGCATGTCCGCAGCGATCGATTCGTTGAACCCAATTTTCAATAGCTCGGCCACACAGTTCGACAGAAACAGCCGCCATTTCTCGTTCAATATCGGCTCTGAGCTCCTCTAACGACGCTGGCTTGTTGGCATAGACCAATGATTTAATGTAGCCCCACAAAAAAAGCCTAGAGGTGTTAAATCACACGATCTAGGCGGCCATTCGACAGGACCATTTCTCTATCTAACACATTCACCGAATTTTGATTTAAATTGCTTGATTGTTTTACCCGCTGTGTGGCTTGTGGAACCGTCTTGTTGAAACCACATATCATTGATGTCTAGCCCATCCAATTGACCAAAAAAATGACGTTGCAACATTTTTCTATAGCGATCTCCGTTGACTGTAACGTGACGTTCAATTTCACAATGAAAAAAAAAACGCCCAGTGACATGAAAGCCACACCATACAGTTTTTGTGGAAGAAGTGGTTTCTTGAAGCACATGAGGGTTTTCAACTGAAGAAAAACTCCATCCTTAGCCACCCCACGCTTCGTCACGTAAAAATCTCTGACGACAAAACCAGAGGTCAAATGCAAAAATTACAACACCTTCGCGAAGAGCTTAGACGTCGTCAAACAACAGGCGAAAGTAATTTTACTATAAAATTCGTGGTAAACCTTCTATAGTACACACAGCTACCCAGGAGATCATCAAATTCTGTGGCAAACTGGACGGTTTCTCTTTTCTAAGCTACTTGAACTCCAAGCATTTGTTCGAGACAATAATCCAACGTTCGTTTGCCTTACTGAAACATGGCTCCATTCCAACGTGTCCGACTATTCCATCAATTTGCCTGGATACTATTTATACAGAATAGATTCACTACGCACTCCTGGTTTTGGTGGAGCATGCATTTATGTTCGCACGGAAATCGCGTCGGCTTTCTCGGTATCTCCATCTTTCAGTCCTTTCGATGGCATTGACAATTTATTTTTGGAATTGAGGTGCCCAAATTTCAACTTCACGATAGGCTGCATATATCGGCCACGGCCCTGTTTGGGAGACACACACCTGTGCAGTCTCATTTCAGATCTCTTAAATAAAAACACCAACCTTTTCATAGCTGGTGACTTCAATCTACGTGACATTAGCTGGCCTATGTCAACCATTCCTGAATGCAATTCTTCTTCTGCTGCTTACATCGACTTGCTACGCAACTCTAGCATATCTCAACTTGTTGATCGTCCAACGAGATTCAGGGAAGGACAGACGCCTAGGGCCCTGGATTTGATATTCGTTAACGACGCCGACTTTGTTTCTAATTTAGATTATTTGCCACCTTTTGGCACGTCTGACCACTGTTCACTTTTATCTTCTCTCCAGTTCAATATAAATAGTCGTTCTACAACCGATAAGTTTAAAACCATCAAAATTGTAAACCACGATGCTCTTAACCAAGCCCTGTCTGAAGTCAACTGGCCTGCTTTGCTTAACAACCGTAGCACCCAAGATATGTGGGACACTTTCGCTCAACGAGTCCTAAGCGAAACGGCTGACAATACTGTTGAAAAGAAGGTATACTGTGACCCCTCAAAGCCCTGGATCAACTCTAACATATCGAGGATGCTGCGTCACAAGAGATCTTTGTGGCAACGGTTTAGGAGGAGTGGCCATTCACAAGATTACGTGTCTCATCGATCCTTTTCTAACCTCCTATCTAGAACGTTACATAATGCCAAACATTCTTATGAACGAAAACTCGTTACCTCCAAAAATAAGAAGAAGCTGTTTCGGTATCTAAGAACAAACCTGAATTCCAAAGTTTCATCACCTCAGCTCCGCAGCGCTGACGGTCATCTCCACATGGATGCCACCGAATCTGCCAACTTACTGGTAGAGTCCTTTAGTGATGACTTCGTCGATGAACCTAATGGAGACCTTCTACCGTCCACTATCTGCCATAGGTGTCCCAACAGCCTTTGCGAAGTTGAGTTCCTGCCTGAAGATGTATTAATGCACCTGCGAAATCTGAAGACCTCTTCCTCCCCTGGTAAAGATGGGATGACGGCTGCTGTACTTAAAAACTGCGCTGCAGCACTGGCCCTACCATTGAGCTTGATATTCACATCGTCTTTTAGATCTTATACCCTACGCTCATGCTGGCTTAGTGCTTCTGTTACCCCTGTATTCAAAAAGGGCGACAGATCCTCCGCTAAAAATTATCGACCAATAAGTCTCGTTCCTATCGCCGCCAAAATAGCTGAAAGAATCATATTAGATAAGCTTCTGTCATTTACTTTCGAAAATGACCTTATCCCTAAGAATCAGCATGGATTTCTCCCTGGTCGATCAATAATGACCAACCTTACCCACTCTCTCAACGATTGGACTCAGTATCTGGACACAAAGACTCCTGTTGATATAATCTACTTAGATTTTTCTAGGGCTTTCGATCGCGTACCACATAGAAGGCTTATGTTCAAGTTGGAATGTATGGGAATAAGAGGCGAGTTGTTACTGTGGATCAAGGCTTTTCTCACCGGGAAGACTTTCTCTGTGCGCGTCAGTGATAGCCAGTCTCACCTTCATCATGTAGCAAGTGGAGTTCCTCAAGGCTCTGTCTTGGGGCCAGTGCTGTTCCTTCTGTATACAAGTGACCTGCCCGCATTGATTTCCTCCACATGTTCAGCTTATGCCGACGACACCAAGATTTACAATACTGTCGTAAATTCTGCTATGCTTCAACGAGATCTTGATATTGTTTGTCAATGAGCAGTCAGTTGGCTTTTACCCTTAAATCTAACTAAGTGTTGTATCCTTCACCTCGGGAATTTACATTTACATACAAGATCTCTGACCACAACATCGAAGCAGTTTCCAGCCACACTGATCTGGGCGTTGTAGTCAACGATCGTCTTTCCTGGTCAGAGCATATTCACCACGTTACATCAAAAGCCAAGAAACTTCTATACATGCTGGAGAGGTCTTTCAAAGGATCCGATGTCAACACTTACGCCTACATTCGTGAGGCCAATTCTTGAATTCGCTGACCCGGTATGGGACACTGTGCTTCTGCGCGATAGAAATCTCGTCGAATCAGTACAGCGTCGGGCTACTCGTATCCCTTTTGGAGCACGAAGACCAAGCTATGAAGATCGCCTTGAATTATTCAACCTGACCTCATTCTCTGAGCGAAGACTTCGTGGCGATCTTATAGTTACGTTCAGGATACTTCATGGTTTGATGGGCACCAACCTCATGCATCTATACCGTCTGTCGCGCAGCAATCTACGCGGACACAGCTTCAAACTGCATAAGGAGCCATTTAAAACAACAGTCCGACAGTGGTTTCTTCCCAACCGCATATTCAACACCTGGAATAGTTTACCTGAAAGTGTGGTTGGTGCTACTTCAGTTAATAGCTTCAAAGTGCAGTATGATAGCTGGAGGAGTGTACAAACTTTATAGCTATGAACTGTCTTTTTTTATTTTTTTTCTATTTGATGTATTTGTGTTACGTGTCCGTACACTATATTTACTGCATGAGCTTATAGTACTGTGTACTCTGCTCATTTCAATTATCATAATAATAATAATAATAATAATAATAATAATAATAACGCATAGTCTGTTTGTTGACGAAGCCGTTTAGCCAAAAATTTTCTTCCAACATTTCTAGAGGCCAATTCGAGAACGTACGTCGGGTCATATGATCGAACCGCTTTAGTTCTTGAGGAAACTTGATCTGATAAGGGTGCAGGCCAAGATCTCTTCGCAAAATTCGCCATAGTGTGGTCTGAGCTATGCCCAACTCTTCAGCCATATTATCGGCACTGCGACCAACCCATTGTCTCACTGATAAGGGGAACACCCAGCAGCGAATATGTGGACTCATTTTTTTTACTAGACTATGAGTTGCTTGTCAACTGGGACGAGAATTACGACCAAAAATTGGAAAGTTGCAGCCACCGACTCGAAATTTGGGTAGTAAATTTAAATTGTTTGTAAGCGTTGTTCGTTCGTGTGATGAAAACGTTTTCTTTACTGGATGTTTTGACATTGACAGTTCGGTAATTGATTCAAAGGTGCGTTCACAGTGAAAATTCGAAGTTGCCAGGTCCCTATTGGAAAACCCGATACAACAAAGGTTTTTGCGTCAGGGGTTAAAAATAAACAAGGCAAAAATATATTTAAATACATTGATCAAATAACAGAAAAACATACGTACACTAAACGGTCTCAAAGTATTTAGATATACTTTTAAATAACTCTGTGATTTAGGGAAAAATGTAAATCAAACAACATATGAAAATGTCCTATCACTCAATATTTGATGAGCGTAACTGGTCCTTATCTCCACCCTAACTGACGGCTATGATTAACAGATATACATATAACAGATATACCTATAACAGATATCAGATAGGTGAGAAAAAACTTCAGACTTTATTGGGTACTTCGACTAACTAGTCTACACTTGTAACTTTATTCTGCAGCTTTCGATAAACTGTGTCATCATCATCAGGAGCTACAAAACATTTTAAAAATAGCAACTACAATTGATCTTAAATTACTTACAAAAGTAGGCGAGGCTGTTGCTAAATCTTATTAACTAAGTTAATGAGGACATTTAGTAACCTGATGAAAACTGGATCCATGGTAGCAGTAGTTAGAATTTATAAAATACAAAAAAAAAACAGGACAAACACTTTTGGATTGATTGTTAAATTTTTTGATATCTTGCTACTTTACAAAATGACGCACGGGACAAAACCATCGGAAGCAAAAAAAGCATGTAAGTTAACATCGGCAGACATAAAGAGAGAGAGAGTGGCTGGAAAATGTTTGGTGTGTGTTCTATATTATTGCCAACCTAATTGAACAGGTGACGTATTTCAAATCCATGTCAAAGAAAGATTCACGATGCTGAAAATCAAAAGCAGTTGAAAAAACTTTTTTTGTAAAAAATAAATCTAACCTGATTTGCCTATTCTATTCAGTTTTTTTCCAAATTCTGACTTTCTTCAAATCAATAAAATTTTTAAAATACAATTTTACCAAAAAAGATTTTTCAACTGGTTTTGATTTTTAACACATGAATTCGAAATATGACACCTGTTCAATTAGGTTGACAACAATCTATAACACACCGCAAACATTTTCCAGCGACTGATCTTTCACCTGTCAGCCGATGTCAACCTTCATGCTCTTTCTGCCTCCGATAGTTTGGTCTCGTGCGCCATTTTGTAAAGTAGCAAGATTGTTCACGATGTAAGAAATTAAAAAAATCAGTCCAAAAGTATTTAACCCGTTGTGGTGTTTTTTGACACGTGGCAATGTGTGTTTTATAAATTTTAACTACCGCTACCGTGGATCCAGTGTTCATCAGGTTACTGAATGTCATCATTAACTTAGTTAACAACATCTCTCCCACTTTTGTAACTGATTAAAGAACGATTATTCACACGTGCTTGCTATATTTAAAATGTTTTGTAGCTCCTGATGATGATGACATGGCTTATCGGAAGCTGCAGAACAAAGTTACAAGAGTACACTTTCCACTAATTAGTCGAAGTACCCAATAAAGGCAGAAGCTTTTTCTCATCAAAATTCTCACGTATTAACAAATATACACATATATATATATATATATATATAGATGAAAAATTAAAGCTTCCGCCTTTTGTTGTTGGGTACTTCGACAAAATTTAAGCAACGAGGACTCTTTATACTTTTTTTATTCTCTCTAACTTTCAGTGGTCTGTGCCATCATTATCAGGAGCTGCAATTACATTGATAAGAGTAGCAACAATGGTGTAAAATGAATTTAAATTAACTTACAGTAGTATATGAGGATGTTGCTAATTGTTGTTTACGTTCAGGATGAGGGAAACACCCAGTAACATGGTGAAAGCTGGATAAATGGTACAATGGTCAAAATTATATAAAATACACACAGCTGTATGACAAGAACAAGTTAAAAACTGATTAATAGAAAATGAAAGCATTACATCGTGAAGCCACTTGATGATTGATTTTCTAAAAATTTTTAATTTGTTTTTAACTTGTTCTTGTCATACAGCTGTGGGTATTTTATATAATTTTGACCATTGTACTATTTATCCAGCTTTCACCATGTTACTGGGTGTTTCCCTCATCCTGAACGTAAACAACAATTAGCAACATCCTCATATACTACTGTAAGTTAATTTAAATTCATTTTACACCATTGTTGCTACTGTTATCAATGTAATTGCAGCTCCTGATGATGATGGTAAAGACCATTGAAAGCTAGAGAGAATAAAAAAAGTATAAAGAGTCCTCGTTGCTTAAATTTTGTCGAAGTACCCAACAAAGGCGGAAGCTTTAATTTTTCACCTAACTGGTCTAGACGGCAATGACCACGTCTCAAGTTATATATATATATATATAACAGATATAGCTTCTACAACTTTGATTCTGATAACCAATGGAACTGCTGTGGTTTCCTATCGGCAGTTGTACTAATTATGACGTTGATGATGGTTGGGGAATCCTCAATTTTCAAGGCACTTTTTATGGCTAATTTCAATTCTGGTATGGTGTTGACAAAGAAACCAGGTTTGCCAAAAGGTTCATCATGTTATCGTAGCGGGTAGCGCTACTCAGGCACGAAGGTGGTGTTCTGAAATATAATAAAACGTTTTTGGTATTCTAACTTATTTGTACAAAGCTGTCTAAGCTTGGTCGTCTTTACCAATAGCCCTACATTGACGGAACCCAATAAATGTAGTTTAATTATTTTTGCATTGCAACTCCACACCTGACATCAAAATATACTACTCAGTCAAATTTCAATTTAATAACAAAAGGAAACTTCGACATGGTCTTTAAGCAGACCGCTGTGATGATCTTGAACACAACTTACATCTTTGCAATATCTTCTAGTTCGGCACTATCCCTCAAGTTTTTGAAAGCTTCAGGTTCCATTCCGGTGTAAATTCCAGAATTATTTACAACAACTATTATAATTGGTAACTTGTATCTGACCATGCTCTCTATCTCCATTCCTGAGAAGCCAAATGCAGAATCACCTTCAACGCAAATGACACGTTTCGTAGGTTCGTGGTGCCTGCAGTAAAGAGCAGCTGCTATAGCAAAGCCTGGACCAACCTGTAAAAAGTCTTTCATCAAAATAACTCACCATTTTATTAAGAATATATCTGATTCCCTGGTACACAAGCTCGGCAACATTTTGAAATTGCACCTGAATATAAAAGGATTGGACCCGAAGGGGGTCTATTACTGCTTAGACTTATTCCATCAAGCGATTCTGGCGAACACTACATCAAAAACATAAGCATATAATCAAAAACTCAGATCTTCGATTTCACAGGAAAGTGCCCATTCCCAGGCCAATCCCATTTTCAATGACTTTCTTTTGGAAAATTTTATAATTTATTGATTGTATAATTTCGCACGTATTATATCTTTCTAACTCAGCGGTTCAGTATTGCGCTGAAATCTTTTGGACACTTATGTTTTATTATATACTAAGTGACATATAAATCCAAACACCCAGTTTAAATGGTTTTATTTAATAAAATTTTGTATAAGTACTTAATGAAGCATAATAAGTAAATGATAAAATTTCAAAATGATTGCACTGCTTTAAAGCCCTTTGACCTTTAATAATGTGTGGATGCACCCTGATGTGCTACGCATTCTCCAACGCGCCTAGGCATGCTTCTGATCAGGTGGTCAATGTCCTCCTGTGGTATCTCATTCCAGGCAACCACCAACTCCTCTCGAAGTGCTTCTAGAGTTTGAGGAGGACGTTGCAAATTGAGCAATCTCCTACCCATGACATCCCACACGTGCTCAATTGGGGATAAGTCGGGTTATCTTGGTGGCCATGGTAACAATGTGACATCATTATGTTGAAAGAAGTCTATTGTGACTCTTGCAACATGTGGTCGGGCATTATCTTGTTCGAAAGTTGGATCTGCCAGGGTGTCAAAATAGGGTAAAAGATGGGGTTCTAGAACTTCGTGGATATAACGCTGCGCGTTCATGTTACCTCTGATGAAGATTAAACGTGACCTGGAACCATAAGCTATAGCACCCCAAACCATAACTCCAACAGTGTGATGAACATGTCTTTCAACAAAAAACTGTGGATTCCTCCTTTCACCACGTCGCCTTCTTACCCTGGCACGACCATCGTGCATGTCTAAACAAAATCGAGACTTGTCACTAAAGACAATACTGTTCCATTTCTGATCCCAGAGTGACCGTTGTCTGCACCACTCAAGGCGATTACGCCGGTGTTCTCGAGTTAAAGGGAGGACCCAGTGTGGCCGGTATGAAAACAAGCCAAAACTTCTCATTCGTCGGTAAACACTTCGCATGCCAATAGGTCTTTCCGAGTTCTGCAAACCATTCGTTTGCAATGACCTGGTAGTGAAGAAACGGTCCCTTAAGGCCACAGTATCTACACTTCTTTGCACTCTAACTGCAATTGCCCGAAAGAAAGTCCAGCTTCCCGAAGTCCCACTATACGGCCCCTATCAAACTCACTAAGTTGACGAAATCGTACAGGTCTCCGTACTCTAGGCATCGTAACCGATCGTAAAAGATGTCAAGAACCAAAATCCGCCAACGTTGATTCTTTACTGCGGCTGAAATATTCATTTTTATAGCGTTAGTGAATTAAAAAAAAGCAGTATAAAAACCGGAATGTCCAACTGATAAGGCTGAAAATTTTTTCACTTGTTATTTACAGTAAGATAAATACATTCACCTACTTTTATTAAAATAAAACCATTTAAACTGGGTGTTCGGATTTATATGTCACTTAGTATATAAACGACTACATCAGGAATTTCCTCATAAAATATCGTTGGTCCCTCGTAGAGTTGGTTCCGCCCATTGGCAACCAGCGCCACTCTGTGACTTCTGTACGTACTAGTCTGCATAGAAATATTTGGTTTCCTATCAAGATACCTTCTTCACCGGTTTTTATCCGTTCCTTTCGATTCCCTATAGAACATACCTTCTTCAAGGACACTCGTTTAACCTTCTTTCAAGAAGTTAGGTGTTCTGCGTCATTTTTACTTCCCGCGGAGATTATGGTGTGGGCGTCGTTTCGTTAATTTCCAGATTCTGGGATATTAAAGCCCCAAACACCAGTTTATGGAATAGTGCCCTTTTATTTTGTACCTTACGTTTAGTTATTTTGGTTTGGGTGCTACCTTGTCCATTTTCTTATGGGATTTTAATCTTCAGCGTTAAGTTCTTTCTTTATACCATCGGACCACGTGCATTAATGCATGCCCTGAAAAAGTTTGTTCAATATATTCACACTCCTCCAGCTTTGTCTTGTAGCTGCCTTGTAGCTGCTGGGCAGCTGACATTGCTGGAAGCCACCCCTTCCCCTTGACAAAAAACCCTGATGTGAGCAGGTAGAATATTATTTAATTAACTATTTTATAGATATTTATATATTCATTATTACTGACTTAAATTCTTAGAGTAGTTCTTGATTTGTGTGTCATTTTACGTATTATTTTTGAGCTGCCATAACTTTATTTTAAGAACAACGGATCAATTTTTGAGGGTATACCACTTTAGTACATTTTTATCTCTTTTTGCATTTGCTTTACTTTTCTCGTAAAAACAATGTTCATGGTTTGAGTGTTTTCAATGGTAGTTTTGTCTCAGACGATATTTTATGAGATCATTTCTGAGATAGTCGATACGAGATAGTACGTAGATAGTAGATTTCAACGCAATACCGAATCGCAAAGAAAGAAAGATATAATACGTGCGAAATTATACAATCAATAATCTATGAAATTTGCCAGAAGAAAATCATTGAAAAGGGTTTGGCCTAGGAATGGGCACTATACCATTAATAAAGAGAAATTCAAATTACTGGTTAATGATCAAAATAGTAAAAAGAAGCTTACGTGATTTTGGCGCGTTACAGATTTCAGAACACAAGCTTGCTTTAATATTGGACACGTTAACGGTTTTAAATGCAGTTGTTATGTTTTTGTTGGACTTTTGCTGCAAACGTGATTGAACTTACCCCCATAGTTCCAAAGGTTCCCGCATCAAGCCTGTTTCTTGGTTGGTTATTGAAGAGCATAGTTCTGCCAATATCCATAGTATTCGCTCCCTCACTCACAATGATGCAGTTGTCGGGAAGATGTTGGTACAGGTTGTGGAAAACTGTATAGTAGTTTAGAGGAACTGATTCGTCTGCAGCCATAGCCTATCGAAAGGATTGGATAAGAATGTGTATGGTAACTTATCATTTGGCGTAGACCGAACATTGAGGAAAACAAAAAAAATATAGTTTTTTTACAGCGAAGTAGTCCCGTAGGCAGAGACCTAAATGCCAGGACACCGTGGCTGCTACGAGGATCACAATGAGATTTTGTTAATCCGATTTTTGAACTGCCTAAGCTTAGTACGACACACAATCCCGACACCCTCGGCACAAAGGAGCGGTCGTATCGGCCAGTTCGGCATGTACGAAGTTCAAGGGTTCGGCTCACCGCTGCGAAAGGATCCCGAGACTGTCTGTTAGAGAAGAGTCATAGATCAGTCCTTCTTTGGACAGCATCGAGCATAAATAGCGTGATCGGGGCGGCAGCACCCCCAAACGAGGCTAACATTTTCCTAGAGCCAATCGCTAATGACATCTGCACTAGAGCGATAAAGTAGTCTGGTTGAAGTCGAGCCGGCAATGGACGTTTCCATGTTTCAAGAATGAAAATATACAGCTCATAATAGTGAGGGTGCCTGGTTCCATTCTGTCGCAGCACCTTTTCACGTCGTCAAACTATAGTTAGATCTACGTTTCCTAAATAAAATGTACTTTTCCTCTATTGATTTAGTTTTTTCAATTCTATTACATTTACATTTCCGTTCCTTTGAAAAAGCGGACAGGATCTCCGAGAAATCTGCCAGCGAGTATATTTGTTGAAAACAAAAATTTCTGTAATAGAAAAAATCGTATACAGGTGCGCTCCTCAGACGGTGCTACCGTGGTGAGTGCCAACGAGACGACGTGGTGAAACTAGAAAGCGATCGGAGACACCTGACTCATCTCGTTGTTGTTTTATTTGAACGCCAACAGATGGGTTAATTAGGCAGCTTGAGCGAAGAAAGGAGATAGAGCGTGGTAGGATTGATTTGCCTCTAAGTCGATCCTGAAAGACGGTTAGCAGCTAGTGCTGTGGAGTAATCGGTTAGGTCGTCTCCAACGGAATGGAGGAGATGCGGACTCCCCATTTGTTGTTTTCAAAAAACTTTGCTTTTAACTAAAAGTGACAATTCGGACGAAAGTCGTATACAATATACAGGGTGTTTCAGTTTATTGTTGCATAACTTTAAGATTCGATAGAACTTTTAAAATTAATGCATAAAGTCTATATAAACATGGGTCGAAAAATGCGTGGCTTCCGTTTAAATTTACTTTTTAAAATAGTTTTTTTTAAATATTTCGAACAATAATCGATGTATAACAGTGAAAATTGGTAAACAAGGGTTTTTTGGTACGACAAAACGAACCATGGGCATAGTTTTACTGTAGCCGCTAGAGGGCGCTCTTTACTGTACCTGTAGTGTATTAAAATGACCGAAAATTTTTTCTTAGTGCAATTTTTTCCTTTTTGAATAAAAAAATGATTCTTCGCACTTTTCAACATTAAAAAGCTCTCTTGTGATTGCTCGTTATAGTTACCCGTTTTTGAGATATTTCGATTTTTAAGGTTCGATGCATTTTTAATTATACGTTAAAAAGTCAGTATCTCGATAATTTTTAGAAGTAGGCTGTGCCTGCAAATATTTTTGAAATTGAAAGTAGAATAAGGTTGAACGTCAATTAGTTGACAGTTTTGTTGTCTGTTGAAACCTGAAGCGTTTTTTTGCAATTGTGAATTTAGTTTCTTTTACCTGTTTTTTTTATAAAAATGCCATTTTTATTCTCCAATCAAGAGTTAGCGGATATTCATTTTGTGTATGGCTTTGTAAATAGAAACGCAGCAGAAGCATCCAGAGAATACGCACGAAGATTTCCAAACAGACGACATCCAACTCGCTCAGTATTTGTAAGAGTGCATCGCCAATTAATTGAAAATGGTTTTGGAAATCTCCAAAGGGATCAAAACATAAATGTTCGTCACGCGCAGATTTACCCGTATGATTCTGCGTGAGTTTGATAGAGATCCGACCACAAGTGTTAGGAGAGTTTCTGGTGCCTTGGGAATTTCAGCAAGCCATGTTCACCGTGTTCTTAGAAATGACCATAGACGTCCTTACCATTTGCAACCTGTGCAAGGACTACAGCCAGGGGACGGAGAACCAAGAATCACATTTTGTCAGTGGATTCTTGATAGAACTGATAATAATAGAGAGTTTTTAAGTAACGTTTTAAGGACAGATGAGTCATGCTTCACTAGACGTGGAGTGGTAAATTTTCATAATCAACATATTTGGTCGCATGAAAATCCGCATGCAGTTCGAGAAAGAAATTATCAGCATGAATTTAGTGTGAACGTGTGGATTGGTATCTACCGTAATCGACTATTTGGACCCTACCTTTTGCCTGCAAGGTTAAATGCTGCGACCTTCTTGGAATTTTTAAAGGCTGAACATGCAAATATGTGGGATGATGTTATGTTAGATTTAAGAAGATTGGCCTGGTTCCAGCTTGATGGTTGTCCAGCTCATTATTCGAGAATAGTTAGAAACTGGCTGGACGAAAATTATCCAGAAAGATGGATCGGCCGTGGAGGACCAGTCGCCTGGCCTCCTCGATCCCCTGACCTAAATCCATTAGATTTCTTTGTGTGGGGATTTCTAAAAGAAAAAGTGTACCAGACTCCCGTAACCACAAAAATATGCTAATAGACAGAAACAGGAATGTATGTGATGAAATAAGGCCTTATTTGAATAATGCTATACCACGTTCGATCATTCGTAGATGTGAATTGTGTATTGAACAATTGGGTTTACATTTCGAGCAACTACTTTAGATTTTTATGTTTGTCCTAACTATCCAATAGCATTTTAGTTGTAAATAATTAATTTAATTTGTTAAAAATAATATTGGAATATTAAACAAATTAATATTCTGTTTTTTTTTGTGTTTATTTGGAGTTAGGAATTATTGCTGTGTTTAAAAACACAATCTAAACGATCATCTTAATTATTTGTAATGCTCAAATCGAAAATGTAAAAAAAAAATATTATTTTCCCATAAATAATTAAAAATGCATCGAACCTTAAAAATCGAAATATCTCAAAAACGGCTAACTATAACGAAAACTCACAGGAGAGCTTTTTTATGCAGAAAAGTGCGAAGAATCATTTTTTTTTATTCAAAAAGCAAAAAATTGCACTAAGAAAAATTTGTCGGTCATTTTAATACACTACAGGTACAGTAGAGAGCGCCCTCTAGCGGCTACAGTAAAACTATGTCCATGGTTCGTTTTGTCGTACCAAAAACCCCTTGTATACCAATTTTTACTTTAAATATTGTTCGAAATATTTAAAAAAAACTATTTTAAAAAGTAAATTTAAACACCTGTATTTCGGAAGCCACGCATTTTTCCACCCATGTTTATATAGACTTTATGCATTAATTTTAAAAGTTCTATCGAATCTTGAAGTTATGCAACAATAAACTGAAACACCCTGTATAATTAACAGACTTGCCTGTACAGTTCTTCGGTTGTCCTGACACTTCCTCTCCAACACCTGCCACCACTCGTTCTGGCTGCTATACGTGAAATTCCTTTTCTTCAGTCCCGCCACGATCTGTTCAACAGCCACTCTGAGGTCGCTCTGTATAGCGACGGCTGACTTGACGCTAGTATTCAATTCTTCAGCTGACAGGTCTATCTGAATTACTTTGGCATCTGGGGAATATCGAGGAGGCCTTCCAAAGTGGAGGATCCAATTTAGCCGAGCTCCAAGCAGTAGAACGACGTCTGCTTTCTGAAGAGCAGTTGACCTGAAACGATGCATGTTCTGTTGCTATCTCACGCTTGAGTGACCCAAGAGTATAAAAAATTGTTTGCTTTCCGTTGTCTGTCTTCAATGACAAGACCTGTACCATAATTGATGAATGCGAAAGCCGCGTACAGACCGAGATTCCAACGCAAACCAAGGCACATGTGGTTAGGAGCCGTTCAAGTATTACGTGAGCCCTATGGGGGCGGGGGGTCTTTGCTTTGCTTATTTTGGATGACATGGGGGGTAGTTGAGTCTAGATGATGATTACGTCATCGGTAGTTGCTTACTTTTTTACAATAATGGCAACCCTCACATTGTCTTTGCTTGAAAACGAAACGCATTTACGGGGATTCCCGCAAATATGCATACGTTTAGTGAACAGCGCGCGGTAATTCCCCTACTCGCTTTAGAACCGAGTAGGGGAATTACCGCGCGGTGTTCACTTGTCTAAATTTCCTCTATCAGTGTATTGTTTCGTTTGGATACTATAGCGAGTAGACGTATTGTAAGCACAGTAAAGCAAGTTAACATTTGTGTTACCATTGATTCCATTAGCCAAGTTTAATGTTTAAATAAGATGTCGTTTCACATAGACAAATCCAAATTATACCAAAAATTGTTTGAAAGTTTTAAACAATTTCATACAAGTACGAAAGTACAAAATGTACAAAAGTTAGTTACGAAGTGTGGCGAAATTATAAATTACAAGCAAAATCCGACAAGGAACTAGATATTATTGTATCTAAGAGAATCGAAGAAGAATTGCAAGCGGCGACTAAGAATAAATCCAATCCACTAAATTTTTTTTCTAAGGTGAGTGACGAAATCATTTTAGGTACCTATGAGTACTAGAAATATTAGAAATCGCCAAAAAGTTTCTCTTTACTGATCAGAAAATATTATGGCCTATCTCAAAGTATAGAGGTAATATTCATTATATTATAGATTCATTTCTTATGACTGATTCCGTCAATTGGTCACAAAGACCACGATGTTAGTTTTATACATATACAGGGTTATCCAAATTAAGTGTCCACCATTAGTAACTTTGTTATTAGTGAAAATACAAAGTTGTTTGAATTAGCAAACTAGTAGCATTTTTAACGCTGGTAAAAATGAGAAATAAAAAAAAACAATTGAGAGTCGTTATTTTGATTTTTTCAGTAAAGTAACATTTTTTTAAATGGAAACCCCTGTATATTATATTTTTTTCTGTTAAAGCATCAAATTTTAAACAAAAAAGCTTACAATAACTTTTCTCTTAGGTTACAAATTGTTGAAGTTATGGCCTCCAATCTGAAACAATTAAATTGTATCGACAAACTTTATTTTCAACATCAACTTATAATGTTACAAATACAATAACAATTTTTTTTAAAGAAGATGCTCGAAAACACCACCTTGTTCTTCAATACATTTTTGGGCACGTTTTTCAACTGCTCGAACTGTCTTAAGTATGGTCCTACCATCTATCTGGGTTATCTTTTCCCTAACTGCAGTCTTTAACGCGTCAATGTTATCGTACCTTCGCTTGTAAATTTGGTTCTTTAAGTAACCCCACAAGAAGTAATCAAGTGGGTTTAGATCTAGTGATCTGGGAGGCCACTGTATTGGGCCATTTGTTCCTATCCACTGATCATTAAAAGTAGTACTCAGAAAATGATAAGTACCTCTGGAGTTGTGGGCAGGTGCGCCATCTTGCTGAAAATGCAGATGATGTCTACTTATAAGATCCAATTCGTCAAAGAAATTAGTCAGAATTTCTGACATAAATTCCACATATCTTTCACCAGTTAGGGTTCCCTCATAAAAGAACGGGCCAACAATTTTTGAACCAATTATACCGCACCAAACGTTGAAACTGAAACGGACTTGTGGGCCTCTTGGATGTACTAACAAAAGATTTTCTCTTGACCAATAATGGTGGATTTTTCTATTAAACATTCCAGAATTTGAAAAATTTGATTCATCTGTCCATAAAAGGTAACGAAAGTTATTTACATTTTGGCGACAGAATCTAAGATACCAATGGCAAAAAACAAGTCTTCTCTCTGGATCCCCTGCCAAAAGCGTTTGAACTGGTCGGTACTTATACGGAATAAATTTGTATTTTTTTAAAATCCTTTGAACAGTACCATAACTGAAATTAGAGTCCTTGAGAATATCTGCTATTGAATTCTCACGATAAGCTTCAAAATATCCAATAACTGCAATTTCCGTGGCCTCGCTTATTATGAATTCTTTTTTTGCCCTTGTTTTAGCAAAAACATTTTCGTTGCCCCTAAATTTTCGATAAAGTCTCAGAAAATATCGTTCATACGGTTGAATGCGAGCGGGATATAATTCACTGTAGTATTCTCTTGCTCTCAAGGAGGATTTTCTGCACACTAAATAGCATTCTAACATATCACACTTTTCTTCATGGGAGAACATTTTTCTTTAAATTAATGACACAATAAAGCTTATAAACAAGTATTTACACTAATGTTTGACATTATTTGATTTTATCATTGTTTTCCAAAGCCTTCTAGTTGCGAGTATGTCCAGTTTAACAATTTGTCGCTTATCTTAATGCTGTCAAATCGCGAACGCCATGTTGTTTTCATAGCCGTCTTAATATTATAATACTGCAAATAATTAAAAATATTTATCGTTATTTTGACTTTATTTTTGACTTTAGCGGAAAAGTCATTATGAACTTTTTTGTTTAAAATTTGATGCTTTAACAGAAAAAAATATAATATACAGGGGTTTCCATTAAAAAAAATGTTATTTTACTGAAAAAAATCAAAATAACGACTCTCAATTGTTTTTTTTTATTTCTCATTTTTACCAGCGTTAAAAATGCTACTAGTTTGCTAATTCAAACAACTTTGTATTTACACTAATAACAAAGTTACTAATGGTGGACACTTAATTTGGATAACCCTGTATAGAGAAAACTAACACCCTGTATTTTGTGACCGGAACGAATTGCTGGTTCAAACATATTAGATTTAAAGCCATAGGGTTTTGTATTTACTATATATATTGCCATACTTTGTATTTATGTAGCTTTAGCAGAAGCCATAGACCGTTTTTATTTTTAAGCAACCTGTAAACCTGCAGAAAAAATAAAATTATACAGTCAGCTTCAAATATTAAAAAAGAGGAAGAAGATAAAATAAAACCCGTTAATGAATCACAACAGCAATGCGAAATTGATGAAAATACAGATAAACAGAGAGCAAAACCTTCTCAGGAAGCTATGAAAAATAAGATTGCTCTACTCGAAAAAAATCTGAATGCTTTGTATTCTGCCAGAGATACTATGCCAAGCCGTGCTTCAGTTGATAAACAGATCATTAAGTTGCGCGAGGAAATAGAAACAGCAAAACACTCTTTAAACAGGAAGAATCAAAACGCAGTTGCCCAGAAGAAAACACAGGGATGGTATGGAAAGAAAGTTAGAAGATATTTGTCATGAAAATCCAGAAATAAAAAAAAGACTATCTCTGAGGGATTCAGTGGGACGTCCTAATCTTGAAAGCAATCAACATTCACTATTGAAAACAATCGCGGATATAGCTTTATTTGGGAGTGCAGCAGATGACAGAAGACGAACGGAATCAATTCGCAGCGTAAAAACTCTTGATGAACTCACACAAGAATTACGTAAAATATGATTTGACATTGGTCGCAGTGGGACATATCTTCGTTTGATTCCCAGAAAATCTAATTCTGCAGAGGGACGAAGACATGTATGGACTGTCCCTGTTAAGCTCATTTGGGCTCAAACTGATCACCACAAGAGCTACTTAGATAGCTGAAACATCAATCCATTATTTATAGAACATAGCATCCATACTTGGACCAGATCAAGTGTTTTTCATACCTCAAGATGATAAAGCTCGAGTCCCTATTGGCGTAACTGCGGCAAATAAGCAAGAACCTCTTCTAATGCACATGGAATATAGAATCAAATTGCCTGATCACGATTGAGTAATCGCTGAGCGTCATAAATTAATACCATCTGTTTATGCTGGTATCAAAATCACTTCCAATATGCTAGGACAACCGCAAGCCGTTGGATATTCTGGACCAACATACATCGCTATTCGAAGTGGAAAGCATAGTTAATCTACTGCTAATACTCATGCTCAGGATTTCGAGAGGCTTCTCGAACTTGAAGAGTTTCGACCATTAGCTAAAACTGACCATGGACTAGTAAAACCAGTGGTAATCATGACGGTTGATGGACGGCCAGATGAAAATCCACGTTTATCAAGAAGTTTGCTATACAACTTTAACCGACATGATCTCGATGCATTGTTTTTAGCTACCAATGCTCCTGGAAGAAGTGCGTATAACAGAGTAGAGCGCAGAATGGCTCCTCTTAGTCGGGAACTGGCTGGTTTAATATTGCCTCATGACCATTTTGGGTCTCTTTTGGATGAACGTGGCGTTACAATTGATGAACATTTAGAAAGATCTAATTTCGAATTTGCAGGAAATGTATTAGCTGAAGTATGGAGTTCAATGGAAATTGATGGCTATAATGTTAATGCAAAATATGTTGGGGGCAGGTGAACAAGATCTTCCTGATTTTCCAGATATTAAATGGTATTCAGAACATTCAGAATTGTAAAATGTAGAAATACAGAATGCTGGTCCAAGAAGTGGCCTATTTAGATTACCAGACAATAGGTTTCTTCCACCACCTGTAAAAGTAAAACAAACAGTTGATGACTTGGTTTTGGATGAAGGAGGGCAATTTCTTAATCTTCCAGTCAATTTAGCTCTACGCTTACGTGCTTCACTCAAAGATTTCCTGCAAATCAAGGCGAACATGAAGAACGTGTAGTCTTTATCATGCTTCCGTCAAGTCACTAAATCATCACATCGAAATATCCATAAATAAGTAAACACGCACACTAATAGGAAAGTTAGACCTGTAAGAGTCGCTGCTCGTCGTGCTAATGAACTGATGTGCATTATTCAAAATTTAGAGCACCATGATGTTGAATGGCTCGATGAGAACGACGTAGACATTCCAAAATCCGATGAAAGCGAACAAACTCACAATACTGAGCCGCAATCGAAGCAATCCAATGTCATCGAAAACTTAGAATCATGGATTCGGGTGTCATGGACTGAAGTCTGTTAATTTGAATTTAATATATGTACCAATAATTTAAAATAGTTTGTTATGTTAGTAAGATATAATATTTTTCTCTTTTACTCTATGTTGAATACCGTTACTTTTCAAATTATAATTATAACGTTATAATTATAATATAAAAAAAACAATACATTGATTGACAAATGTTTACGTAAGCATTGACTGAGGGGGTAAGAGCTTTGCTTACTTTTGCTGACATGGGGGATGGGGGGGTAAATAATTGCGATAAATCTGCTTACGTGATACTTGAACGGCCCTTTACAGATTTATAGGTGTACAAATCGGGGTCTATGGCGCGAGCCACATGTGCTTGCTTGGCGTTGGATTTTCGGTCTGTACGCGGCTTAACAAGCAAGAAACAACGTTGTATACGGTTGGTTATGGCCACAGACGCGGGGATCAAACATATCCTAGTAAGAAAACCTTTATTACCGTGCAGGTTGAACACACTTAGGCGACGCATCCGGTACAACTCCTTTGCCCATTGGCGTTGCCAAAAATGGTAGATTCGTCGATTGTATCAAGTCTCGCACAGTAGCTTCTGCTCTAGCATACGCTGCTCCTTTACCTACGATCACTAACGGTCTCGAAGCTTGTGTGATCAAATCTACGGCTGTTTGTATGTCGCTCGGATTCGGATATATCAAAGGCGGCGGTGTGGGGCCATAGTATGGAGATACTGTTGATTCTTCAAACCCTTCCTGATAGAAAAACACGCATTATGATCTCGTCGATGAAAAACGGTTTTTGTTTAGATTTAAGGGAAGCATACTAAAATTATACAGAGTGACAAAAAAGGTAAACACCTGCGTATGTTTATCCGATTTTAACAATTTTTGGCGTATAAATTATGGTATCCTAATATACTAAGTGACATATAAATCCGAACACCCAGTTTAAATGGTTTTATTTTAATAAAATTTTGTATAACTACTTAATGAAGCATAATAAGTAAATGATAAAATTTCAAAATGATTGCACTGCTTTAAAGCCCTTTGACCTTTAATAATGTGTGGATGCACCCTGATGGGCTACGCATTCTCCAACGCGCCTAGGCATGCTTCTGATCAGGTGGTCAATGTCCTCCTGTGGTATCTCGTTCCAGGCAACCACCAACTCCTCTCGAAGTGCTTCTAGAGTCTGAGGAGGACGTTGCAAATTGAGCAATCTCCTACCCATCATATCCCACACGTGCTCAATTGGGGATAAGTCGGGAGATCCTGGTGGCCATGGTAACAATGTGACATCATTATGTTGAAAGAAGTCTATTGTGACTCTTGCAACATGTGGTCGGGCATTATCTTGTTGGAAAGTTGGATCTTGCCAGGGTGTCAAGATAGGGTAAAAGATGGGGTTCTAGAACTTCGTGGATATAACGCTGCGCGTTCATGTTACCTCTGATGAAGATTAAATGTGACCTGGAACCATAAGCTATAGCACCCCAAACCATAACTCCAACAGTGTGATGAACATGTCTTTCAACAAAAAACTGTGGATTCCTCCTTTCACCACGTCGCCTTCTAACCTGGCACGACCATCGTGCATGCCTAAACAAAATCGAGACTCGTCACTAAAGACAATACTGTTCCATTCCTGATCCCAGTGTGACCGTTGTCTGCACCACTCAAGGCGATTGCGTCGGTGCTCTCGAGTTAAAGGGAGGACCCAGTGTGGGCGGTATGAAAACAAGCCAAAACTTCTCATTCGTCGGTAAACACTTCGCATGCCAATAGGCCTTCCGTGTTCTGCAAACCATTCATATGCAATGGACCTTTTAGTGGAGAAACGGTCCCTTAAGGCCAATAATCTTAGGCGGCGATCTTCACGGTCTGTTGTTCTACGGCGGCGTCCAGTGCTCCTTGCTCTTTGCGTACGGCCTTCTCGAAGCCATGCCTGACAACACCTAACCACAGTGTCTACACTTCTTTGCACTCTAACTGCAATTGCCCGAAAAGAAAGTCCAGCTTCCCGAAGTCCCACTATACGGCCCCTATCAAACTCACTAAGTTGACGAAATCGTACAGGTCTCCGTACTCTAGGCATCGTAACCGATCGTAAAGGATGTCAAGAACCAAAATCCGCCAACGTTGATTCTTTACTGCGGCTGAAATATTCATTTTAGAGCGTTAGTGAATTTAAAAAAGCAGTATAAAAACCGAAATGTCCAACTGATAAGGCTGAAAATTTTTCACTGTTATTTACAGTAAGATAAATACATTCACCAACTTTTATTAAATAAAACCATTTAAACTGGGTGTTCGGATTTATATGTCACTTAGTATATAAGAAATATAAGATACAAATAAAGCAGTATCTTATTTGTCGAACAAGAATTAGGTTTAGAAATCCATACGTGGTTTTCCTATTAATTTTCAAGTTTGTCGACATGGGTTATATCGCTCCCGGATCACAATGATATTTATTTTTTGCTGTTAGAGTCAAATGAAAAAAAAAACAACAGAAGGTATGCGTATCTCAATTCTAGCAAAATATTGTTTGCTCTCATGGCTGAGACTCCCTAATATACAGGGTGGCCCATCCATGTGTGGCCGGAATATTACTCATAAACAAATTCATTTTGGGAAAATCTATTTATGGGATGTTATACATGACGTTTGAGGGCACATTTCTAAAATATTGGTCATTATACAGGGTGTCCCAATTTCGAGCTACATATCAAAGTTGTGATTTTCCAAAACGAATGCCTCAAATTTTATTGCATATTTGAATAAACCAATTCAAACGAAGAAAATTGACATAACATACTATGGGGTTTTTGGTAATTAGCTACTGAGATATAAGGTGTTTTGTCTAGAAAAAACCTCCCACTTCGGCAACCCCTCAGACCGCCATTTTGAAATTTGGAGTGCTGAATTTTGTATCAAAAAAAACTTACACACCTGAGCTTTTATCTTATTTGTTACTTTTTAGAATTTTAATTTTTGCTCATACAGGGTGGTCAAAAACGCAAATTATAGTTTTCCTCAAAAATTTCAAATGCATATTTGTGCAAGTTTGGATTCAATTTTTTATAAGCTTTTTTTGATACTAGACAAATAAGGGCTTTCACGGCCATTTTTTCTGTTATTAGCACGTCTTTTATGGAACGGCTCAATTACCTAAAATATCGCATCATCCTTGGAAACAAATAGATTGTTAATTAGTTACAAACTGTCAAAATTTGCTTTGTGAGCATGGATGGGACTCCCTGTACATACAGACTGTAACAAAAGTTTGAAACGCATCGAGTATCTGACGAATAACTGATCTTATTTTTTTTTTTAATTGGTAGATTCGGGTTCGAAACTACGGCGGATCCGTTGATGATATCCGCGATGTTGCCAAACTTACGGTTTTTCTGAAACTGACAGCAACTTTTTGTTTTTTTTATGAAAAGGAAATATTATCCGTTTTCCTATTACGATTCTTAATTCTGCAGGTTTGCAGTCACGTAAAGGCAAATATTTTGTATAGTGAGTTACAATTAGTGAACCGTTTTTGATAAAGCATGTTGATAATAATTACCTGACAATATGTTTGCCGGAAAGTCTAAGTAAGCTGCTCCCGGTCTGCCATTTTTGGTGAGACGAACTGCCTTTTCGACGTGCATAGGTATAAGTGGAATAGTTGGTGGCCTTGCGGCATACTTGCAGTAAGGCCTAGCTAACTCTACCTATAAACCAACAGGACATTTGGACAGCATCAAAAACAGAACACGTATACACTAAGAATTGAAGAGCACCTGACCAAAAGTTTATAAAATCAAGCTACCTTCCAAATAAAAAAATGGATAACAAAAATTGGACAATCGGTTTATGAACAATTTACAGGATAAGGCATTCAATTTTATTTTGACATGATTACTTGAAACTACAAGTAATATACTAAGTGACATATAAATCCGAACACCCCAGTTTTAAAAGTTTTTATTTTAATAAAAGTTGGGGAATATATTATCTTACTGTAAATAACAAGTGAAAAATTTTTCAGCCTTATCAGTTGGACATTCCGGTTTTTATACTGCTTTTTTTAAATCACTAACGCTCTAAAAATGAATATTTCAACCGCAGTAAAGAATCAACGATGGCGATTTTGGTTCTTTACGATCGGTTACGATGCCTAGAGTACAGAGACCTGCACGATTTCGTCAACTTAGTGAGTTTGATAGGGGCCGTATAGTGGGACTTCGGGAAGCTGGACTTTCTTTTCGGGCAATTGCAGTTAGAGTGCAAAGAGTGTAGACACTGTGGTTAGGT